TTAGGAAAGAATGGAACCGTCTCCCGAATGATCTTGCCGTGAAATTGGTAGATAGTATGAAACGTCGTGTAGTTGCACTCCTAGAATCAAATGGCGATTATACAATGTATTAAATATTTAAGTTAGTAATGTATTTTAATAAAAAAAATTTAAATGTACTTATCTGTGGGACCATCTAGAGCCAGTCGGATACTTATGACTGCTACTGTAATATGTAACAAATATATATATATATAAAGGTCCTTAAAAATATCAATAAAGACAGAATTAATTGCGCACAATTCTTCTCCAAGTAATGTAAAACGGAAATAATTGTGTACAATTCTTCCACCACCTAGTAAAACACTGAATTTGTTTTAATTGATTGATGGTTAGGTCCTTTGATCCAGAAAAGGCATTGTTAATGATAAAAATGGCATATTGATCGATCATAAAGCACTTTGTGTAGAATAGTTTAAGGCTTTTAGCTAGAAAAGCAAATCGTTAATTAAATATTTATTAATTAAAAAGAAATAAAGAAAATCCAAATTCCCTTACCTATGTACAGAGGTCTCCCAGAATATTGTGAACACTTTTTAAAATACAATATGCAAAAAAGCAAGCTTTATGTTTCTAAGCTAATAGAATCATTGAAACATATTGTACATTATATCAAAATTGCAAGTGATTTCAATAACTAGTTCAATATATATTATAAATATAAAAAATAAACTTTAGTATCAAACTGAAAATTTACAAGAAAAAATATTCTATTTTATAAAGATGCAAATATCTTCATACCCAGTAAACCAAATTAAATAATTTTATGTCACCAGATTCACCAAGTCAAGATGCATTTAATGGATTACTAGATGCAAAGATATAATATCTCAAAAAGACCATACAAAAATTGGAGTAAAAAAATATTTTAAAGAAAATCATTTTTGCAAATATCTGCATCCAGTGAACCAAATTGGATGATTTTGATATCACTAGATTCACTTAAACAAGGCGAATCTGATATATCAAAATCATTTAATTTGGTTAATTGGATGCAGAGATATGCACAAAAAACTATTTTCTTCAAAAATTTTTATCCCAGTTTGATATACATGTATTACCTTTGAGATGTGATATTTCCATATCTAGTAATCCAAATTGAATAATTAGATGCGCCTTAACTTTAAGAATTTGTAGATAAAGTTTTATTTAATTTGATTTACTAGATGTGAAGTTATTTACATCTTTGTAAACTAATATTTTTCACATAAATTTCAGTTTGATACTAAATTTTATTTTATATATATTTATATATATATATTGAACTAGTTATTGAAATCACTTGCAATTTTGATATAATGTACAATATGTTTCAATGATTCTATTAGCTTAGAAACATAAAGCTTGCTTTTTTTGCATTATTGTATTTTAAAAAGTGTTCACAATATTCTGGGAGGCCTCTGTATTTGGAAGTAGGTTCCATAATTCACGTGTCTATACACGAGATCTGAGATCACGGAGTAGAGTCTCAAGTTTGTAAGATGATGATTGTTAATGTATGAAAAAAATTAGTGATTTTAGTGATCTAGACGGGTGTGGGAATTTCAGGAAATAGTAAATAGTTTAGGGAGTAATGGTAATGGCATTTACTAATTTCCCCCAAGTTTTGATTGGATAAAAGTAATTTTCATCACTGATTAGTTGACTGCATGCACACCGGGTCTTCTAAATCAACTAATAAAGATGCATAGATTTTTTATCAACCCGGCAAAACAAATTCGACACAAGAAAATTAAAAAGGCAAATAATGTGAAAAATACAGAAAACGAATGGGTAAACCTGGCTCGAAGCACTAATAAAAAATGTCGGGAAGACAATTTTACATATAATCTTCCCTCCAGTCCTAACTCTAACCCTTAATCCTAACGCTCAAACTAACCTTTAATATCCTCAACCAATCAGAGACAGTCTCAATAAGTTCTAGATTATTTGTATTATTTTGTTATATTATATTTCTTTGAGAATTCCCCTCACCTTTGTTTTGTGTCAATTACAATTTTTGTAAAGATTGGCACAAGAGACCTTTAGAACCTTTAAATACACTTTAATTGTAAATCATTCAGTTTAGCTCTACACTCTTGTTCATACATACAAATTCTTTAATTACAACAATTTTAGAATAGTAGAAACAATATATTTCCAAAACTCTTAAAAAAATACTTTCATAAGGAACAACGTCAAACTGGTTATAACGAACTCTGGTTTTAACGAAGTATGATTATAACGAATAACTTAGTAAGTCGTTATAAAAAGTATAACAGTTTAATTGCCTTATTATACTATATAAATTTTGTTGTGATTTCGATGACCGCTATTTACCCTTGCAATTGGATTATCCACGATAGTTGAGTCTTAAAGGGATGGATGCGTGTCTGATTTGTATTAAATATGCTAAATGACAAGGAACACTCTAATAAACAAGAATTTGGTGACAATTGAAAGTTGCAACTATGTAAAGTTGGCTACAGGAGAATATTTACGTCAGATAATTACAAAATTGCGCCGCCGTGGTTCAGTGATATTGCGATTCTAATGGATAATGTTGAAGATCAATATCTAACAGATGATGGTTTTGCTATGGAAAGATTTTATTATATTTATTGTTACGAGACAAAGTAAGGCTTCCGCAATGTATAGATCCTTTAGAATTAGCGCTCATTCTATGGCACGAAGAACGCTAACCCCAAGAATATCCATTCATTCCGTTGCATCAATCAATGATGTACCTCGATTTGGTGAGGAAAACAGGTTTTTAGTGAACAACTTTATGCGTCTACAATATTTAATTCATAGTAATATTGTTGGATGTTAGTCGTAGGGCTAACGATTACATAAATCTTGCGTCAAAAACATTACGTGACGTGACAATATGTGTTCTTGAACTTACCCATGATCGTCTAAAATAGGAATATAAAGCCCATTACGTAACGTAACTAAACAGTCAGTTGATCATAAAAACGCAAAAATACGAATTGCAGTTAGCGTGGGAAATCTGAGAATCCGAGAATCTAGATATATATATCAAATATCAATAGATATGTATATAGTACAGTATTTACAAATTTATATGGTATCTAAATTCTCGGATCCCAGATTTCCCACACTCGAACTGCACTACGATAAATAAGTAAATAATGGCTAGCAATTTTTTTAGTTTGATCGATAGACAACATTCCATTTTAGTCGTTACCGAATACATGTACATATGAACTTTCCGGATCAAACAATACAGTCAAGAAATTTACGGAATACTTCCTTATATTAGTTCAGAGGTGCTTAGGGAAATTCATATACATGTACTAAAGTTGCAGATATCTATGATTATGTACAAGATTGTGACAAGTGAATGACTATTTGGTGGACGATGATAGAGATCTCGTATTAGACATCTATGAAGGAGTACGACCTATGATACCAAACAACGTTCCCGAATGTTGGAAATTTATTATTGAATATGTTGGGATCTTATTTCAGAAAACAGACCAAACTGCTCGGGAACTCTACGACTTTATGACTATCCAAAAGACAAAGTGAATACTTTGCATTTTCAGTACTGCAACTCTTTAGAATACCCTAAAAGTTTTGAGTGTCTTAAACTAGAAAGGCAAAATTAAACCTTAACAACGGTCAGCAGGTATTGGACTGATTACAAATCATTCTTGAAGAGATTATTTACTAATCTCTCGTAATAACTTGTAAAATAAACTATTCGTGACAACCACCAGATTAACCATAAGGAAACAAATTTAGCCGATGTTCTTTGTCTGTTTGGCATTTTCTGTTCGTTTGTGAGAGATCTGGCGTGAAATATGGGCAACTTTATCAGCTGAGAAGTTTCTGGTAAAATTGCGTGATATATGCCATCTTTCAAAGAAAGTCAAAGAATTTTTTGCTTATATAGCTGGCCTGTCTACCTAATTTCTTTTTCCTCACCAGCAACGGTCAATAAATTGTTTCAAAACAAAAAAATCAAAGTGAGTTATATATAATAAAGTTTGTAATGGCTTTAAATTCTTTGTTAAATATTTTTGCCAATAGTTCTGTTTGTTTTTCGTCAGCAAAATGGGTAACGATCATGGAACAGCTGCGACATTAACGGGAATCGGTGCTAGTGCGGCACTGGCAGTCACTTCTTTCTTCTGTCCGCCATTAGGATTAGCAATGGCGATTTCCTCAACAGCAGTAGGCGGGACAACCGCAGTTATTGGTGTAGCTACTGATAACGAAGCTGCGAGAGATATCGGGTTAGCTTATCTCGGGGCAGGAGTGGGATCGTGGGCTGGAGGAATGGGAGGAAAAAACGGAAGTCATTGCAATCATTGTCCTAAAAAATAATGACATTATGAAGAATACTACTAAAAAAGAAGGTAATGAAATTTGATTAATCTTTTCATTAGAAAAAATATTGAAAAAGAAAACTAAACTTGTTTCATGGTTTATTTCACAAGAATAGTCGAAGAAGTTTGTTTGCTTTATTTTTTTTTTCGCTTAGCTTACAGGATGTAATTATAATATTCCTTACAATTTCTATTATCTTAGTTTTTAGTTAACTCCATTTTTTATTTATATTCAGTGTTTTCTTATTTATACCGTGAAAACACAGTTGAATCAATTGAATCAAATATATAATCGGTTAAACCATGAATAACCGGTTAGCCATTATTGATATTTTTAACAATAAAAAATCATTTATAAGCTGTCTAGCAAATCATACTATATACATGTATAGACTAAACCCAGTGTTGCCAACTGGGCCATCCTGGACATAGTCCAATACTGTGCCACTGGATCACCTGACTTAGTAATTTTTTACAAGTAACTTCTGGTTACTGGACGTAGCAACAATAAAGTGATAACACTGACTAAATCAGTTAGGAAAGAGGGGAATCTGATGAAAAAATTTGTTTGCTCAATCGATGTAAAATAAACTCGGGACCTAACGTTAAATTTAAAATCGATATTGTCTGGATTTTGTGTCGAAACATCGGTGCAACATTTTTGAGTTTTCCTATCCGTGACGTAAATCAGATGATTTTTATTTCATACTAAATTGTCCTAGTTAAGTAGTTTTGTCTATTAGTGGCCTGACGAAAATCGCCTGATTTTTGGGTCAGCCAAATTATCAGGTTTATTTTGGATCAACATACGTACATACATAGATATGTCAGGTGTTGGGTGGGTGGGGTGGTGTTTTATATTTGGGGATTAATTTTTGTGAAACCACAAAGATTAGTCACTTGACCCTGTTTAACCGAATTAACCAATTGTACCCCCAGTTAGGTCAGTTGATCGGTTGAGGGATTTTGTTAGGTTTCGATTAGTTTTTATTTTATTTCTCAATTTATCTAAAATCCCCCCCCCCCACAGGGTATTAAAACTGGTTATGATTCTTTTAATAGGCAATAACGATACCAAATAACAATACGTAGTACAGTAGATAAGATTTTCTTTAATGTAAACTCATAATTTCTACTTAGAATTCACTCACTGCATAGAATAAACCTCAACTTATTTCTTATATAATCTTTGCAGTATATCTAAGGAATATTCCGTTCTAAGATTGCACGATGTTGAATATCAAAAGAATGAATATGACTTTTTCGTTATTAAAAAATTAGCGTAACACACACGATTTAATCAGCTGTTTCCTAGCGCTAACCTACGATTTCTCCGGTAACGATGAGTGTCATTTAAACAATACTCCATGTTATTGTTTATGAACCTCATTCAGTGATTTATAAGTATTCTCCCAACAAAAGTTGTTCTATAGCGCAGTACATCCTATTCGACATACTAGTTTTGGTATATGTCTTTGAGAATATTAGTTCGGGTAAAAGATACTCGTACTTCGATAAAATGGCGACTTTTAGGGCTATATCGTAATCCTGAAATCACATCGGAATGTTTTCCACTTCTCCCATATCCTAAATAAGTCATATTTCTAAAACCATCATACTTGAAGTTTCGAAACTGAATTGATGATGGTTGTTGCGCTGTTGAAGAACCTGGGCTTTGAAGGTAATTATTTTGTTTCGCTTGTGGAACTACATGGGCATACGACTGTAATACTGTTGGATTGTTATGCTGAGAAGGAAGAAGCTCTGTGAGATAGATTTCTTTATGATCATTTCTTAAATAATTCCATATTGTACATTATTTTCGAAATATAAGTAAACGCATCTGAGAGGACCTTTTTTGCCCTTGGTTCATTTTGAAAAATTCTACGGATGACCTACTACCAATAGATAAAACATGTTTATCTCGGCTTCGACTATTAAAATTGTACCTTTTTACGCTAAAGTCCGGTATGCCTGGGCCTTGTGTAACTTTACAACAAGGATGTTGAAACCCAATACCTTCACTTACCAAAACAGTGTTCAGATTATGTAAAATGTTCACGCTTAACACGAATTCATCATTCCTTTTCAGTGAAATCGCTAAAAACAGGTTGCTTGTATTTGGTTTTGTATCGAAATGGAAATTATTCATTTCCGCAAAAAAATCGGCCGTGCTGTTATAGCATTTCATACTTCGTAATATGGTAAGTTTTTTTTTAATTCAAAAAAAACTATTAACGTTAGTATTAATTATTT